GAATTAAATGGGATGGCTCGAAAAGGAAAGTAAGAAGAAAAATATGGGACGGAAGGAGTATATTATTGTAGGTTATTTTTAACTCTTTTTTCTTTTTTCATTCGTCCTTTGAATTATTTCTCCTGTACTCTAAATATGCCGACTAACTACAACCTAATTATTTTTTTCTTTATAGGTTAACATAATGATTGGAACAATAGTTGTTGCAATTTTTTAGTTTCCTGATCGCAGTTCGCTAGAGAATTTCGATATACTTGGTATATGTGATTCTCTAGGGACTATAACTATTGATGATGTGCACATCATACCCATGGCCTATAAGCTTAGAAAGTATGATCTCATCCGGACTCCATATGAGGACATGCATGTCCTCCTTATTTGCGCAGCAGCGAACGGTGGGGTTCTAAAGAGGTTGAAAAATCAATTCAGTGAGAGCTCGAAAAACCACAAAACTAGCGCCCCAAGATTGCTCTGGAGATACATGAAATGATGAGTTTGCACATCACGCCACTCATCAACTCGGAGAGATTTAAGGATAAAGAAAAACCCCCCTCCTGCTTTACTGTAGCCGGCTAGCTGAACTCTAAAGATCCATTCATATTGAAGGTGGGGTTTGGTGTCCTAGATGTGGGCTTTGATTTCAAGTTCTTGTACTCTGCGTTCGAGGGTAGTGGCTCTACACATGCACGAAAAATGTTTGATGCACTTTTTGCAAAGGTTGTTGTAGTGGAGATGGACGAGCCCAAAAAGTACCGGTGATAGCTCAAAGGGACGCCAAGCACTGAACAGAGAAAATAATGACTTTCGTTGCACTAAAAGATCCCCAACTGGGTCTCCTTCACACTTTTACTTTTTCAGCCAGGGAGACCATCTCATACTCAAGATCCAATTTCTCCAATGAAAATGGCAAACTCTCACACAAAAGCCATATTCCGATATCACTGGATTAAAGCGGATATGAGAGGTTGAGAGATGGTTGGCTGAACATGAAAATAGTCGTTGACCATGCATTGGTATGTTTGTTTTTCTAAAATTTTACAAACTACTTCGTAATTAGTTGACTTTTTATTATTTTATATAAGTTTTAGTTTGTTCTTTCATGATTTAGCTGTCTTAATTATTTCTTGTTTTTACTACAAAAAAAATCAATGTAAAAATTTCTAAGGTGTCTTATTATGCGTTTTTTTATATGTCACACTCAGGTCTAAGGCAGCTACTTTGTAATTAAGAAAATAGAGCCGAGGAGATTTGATTTTAAGCTATCATCATCATCTACAACATTATTATTAGGGCTTTGTTCCCATTGTGTCCCGTTCGTAAAATTGACGGTTACTATCTCTAACACCCTCGGTAACCCTACCTCCGCCCCAACCCGAACACACCTCTCTACCCCCTTCAACTGCACCTCCCACTCCAAAGTCAAAATAAGTTGAATTGCAATTGAAGGTGGTGGGGGTGTCTGTTTGGGTTGGGGCGGAGTGTGGATTTACTAGAGGCTTAGGGGTGTAAAAACCGCCAATTTTATGAACGGGGCGCACGAGTACCCCGGGTCATCACATGACATTGAAAACCGATGTCATAGGGACCAAACCCTAATAATAATGCTGATGATGATAGCCTAAAATCAAATCTCCTCGACTCCTTTTTCTTCATCCCAGAGTAAATGCCTTAGACCTGAGTGTGACATATAAAAAAACGCATAATAACACCTTAGAAATTTTGTATTGATTTTTTTTGAAGTAAAAAGAAGAAATGATTAAGACATTTAAATCAAGAAAGAACAAATTAAAACTTAATTAAAATAATTAAAAGTCAATTAATTACAAAATAGTTTTTAGAACTGTAGAAAAACAAACATACCAATGCAAAGTCAGCGGCTATTTTCATGTTCAATCAACCATCTCTCAACCTCTCTCTTATCTGCTTCAATCAGTGACCTTAGAGTATGGCTTTTGTGTCAGGGTTTTCATTGGAAAAATTGGCTTGAGTATGAGTTGGTCTCCCTGTATGAAGAAGTAAAAGTGTGAAGGAGACCTCTAGTTCGGAGATCTTTTAGTGCAGCAAAAGTTATTATTTTTTCTGCCCAGAGTTTGGCGTCCCTTTGGGCTATCACCGATACTTTTTTGTGGTCGTCCATCTCCACTCCTACAACCTTTGCAAAAAATGCATCAAACATTTTTCGTGCATGTGTAGAGCTGCTACCTTCGAACGCAGAATACAAGAACTTAAAATCAGGCCCATACCGGGACACCAAATCCCACCTTGAATATGAATAGGTCTTTAGAGTTCAGCCATCTGGCTACGGTAAAACAGAAGAGAGGTTTTCTTTATCATCAAATCTCTCCGAGTTGATGAGTGTCGTGATGTGCAAAGTCATCATTTCATGTATCTCCACAGCAGTCTTGGGACGCTGGTTTTGGGGTTTTTCGAGCTCCCACTGAATTGATTTCTCAACCCCTTTAGAATCCCACCGTTCGCTGCTGCACAAAGGAAGACATGCATGTCCTCATCTAGAGTCCAGATGAGATTATATTTTCTAAGCTTACAGGTCATGGGTATGATGTGCAAATCATCAGTAGTTATAGTTTCTAGAAAATCACATTTACGAAGTATATTGAAATTCTCTAGCGAACTGCGATGCCCCTCATGAATATATTGAACTTTATTATTGTTATTATTATTATTATCATTATTATTACTATTATTATTATTACTACTAGCACTACTATACACCTTGTGTTTATCATTCCAAAATATATACCTTATGAAAATCACAAATTGTGTTTAATAGAAAGTGAAAATATTTTGTTGGAAGTGAAAAAAATGAAAGAGTAAGTGTTTTTGAAAACGGATGGTGCAGTATACTGTCATGGTAGGGGAGAGAGCGGTATAGAGGGGAGGGTTAAGGGGTAGGAATCGTCATTTTTACAATTGGAGCGCTGTAGATATTCCAAACGAATTGGTGTAAGCAACTGGTGTATAAGTAACTGGTGTCATTTTAAATACTCTCTTTTTTAGTAGGTAATGTAAAAGTCATGCACATTTTTTGATAATTTTTAAAAACAATTGAACAAAAAAAGTAAAAATTAACCTAATTAGATGGGGTCTCTTTAATAGTTGCAGTAATCACTAACAAACCATTTTCCTCTCGTGCCGCTAACAACTTGATTATTTTCAGTGAAATTTACTCAAAATAACACCTAAAACAAATGGAGTTTACGCATAGCAATAGTCTTTTTTTCCTTTTAATAGCATTCTTTTTTATATGGACTCACAAAACTGCTCTTTTTCCCTTTCAACGAATTGAAGGACTCCAAACACATAAAAGAATACTGTCCTATATATGATCATCCATTTACTGCATTAACTAAAATCCACAACCATAATCTTGTAGAAATATTTTTAAGAAGAATACTGCAAGCAGTGTTGATGAAAAGCTCAATAGTATAACGAATCACGTATAAACGCTTTCAGATCAAAATTATTTTGGGGTATACGAAATACTTCAACCGGATAAGACGTTAATCAACAACAAGCACTCGAAATCCGATACTCAACCCATACCACGAGACTCTATTTTATAGAATCGAAAATTCATGACAGGACATGAACGTTCGCATAGACGCGAACGTTCGCGTGGAGAGGAAGAAACGCGCGAGAAGAAGAAAGGGTTTCAACGAAAGGTCTCCTGCGGTTTAGAGTCAAATTAGACGTTATCCACTCTGCCCCTTGGACCACGGTACGCAGGGGCTGCCACCCCCGGACCCCGCCGTGAATTTGTAACATTGTTGAACGAGTGTGCACTCCGTGCCTCCTAACTCATTTGGCAACGTCTATTTAAATTCTTGTCCGATCTAAGTAAATCTAATCATACAAAACATCCAATGACACTAAAATCACCGACAAATCTTCAATTGGTTTTAAACTTCCCAACAACCTTGCCCACATATTCTTTCAAATACTCTCAATTATTAAGGCCTTTAGGCTCAAATAGTTTCAAAATTTATGTATCCCAAAAACCAGGACATTATGCTTAATCTATAATACTAATTATATTCTAAGTTGCAAAAAAGCCACATAATACACTGCCCACCCATTTTTTCAAAAATCGCTGCCCTCCCATCCTTTCAAACCTCTTTTATTCTTCTTTTTCTTGTCATTCAAAAAACACCCACGACATGCAATAGCAACACACTGCACTGCACAATTAACCATCATTCATAGTTGAACACTACAAATATAAGAAAAAGGTCAATATAGTCCTTCCTTGGCCCTGCACTAATAATAAAACATAAATTTTACTTAACACTTGTGCTATTAAAAGAATTGAACATTGTTTTAGTGCGTTAAGTTGTAGGTAATTTTCCCTTATTTCAAGTGGTTCATTCAACAGCTATTTTTCGCTCGTGTAATTGTTGACATCCAAATGTCGTGATGAGTAGATTGTTATTCTATGGAATTGAAGGACATCGTGCGGTATGTGTGCATGGTCAATTGATCATTCGTAGGGTCTCAAGAGCAGCCAGAGTCGAATGTTATGATCTTCGTAACACAAGAGGTAAGAGATTTAGGGACAAAGGCAAAAAATTCTTTCCCTCTCATTTTTTTTATTTAGTTTGTCTTACAAAATTCTTTTCGTTTCTATTAAAAATTAACTTTACCAATTTTACCTCTGTTAATTTTTAACCTATCCATTCGATCATATTTTTTTATTACGGAGTAGTAATCTATACATTACATTCTACTTTTACACATTATATCGAAGATATTTTTAGAAAGTCAAGAAAAAATTATTTCTATTTGAATTTTTTAAGAGTTAAAATTGAAAAAAAAAATTGAGACAAAGAAACCATTAAAATTTCATCCTAATTTTATAAAGTATAAAATTAGCCATTGAAGTTTAATTTAAGTAGGGAAAGAGGAATCTCCGCATTTTGGGGGGCATAACTAATATTTTTAAAACTTAGGGCACTAATTTAAAAACCGTACGTTTCTACTGCCACTACAAAAAGAGTGGGCATCCCAACCCACTCATATCTCATCTTAAGTGCAATCCAATGGTTCCCAATTTTTGACAAAAAAAAACGCGTCTCCATCTCTTATCCGTATCCATCGCAGATCTGAGCCGTCATTCCCAACCTCTGGCCTCTTCGTTTCTCTCTGCGCGGATCTCCCCACAAGGCTGAGACCAAGCACGGCTAGAGCTCGGCGCCACCTCCATCGCCACTCTTCTCAAGGTAATTCGGTCTAGGTATAAACAATAACTTAATTTTGGTTTTTTTTCTTTCAATTTTGTGCGAACCCAGCTTAAATTTCGTATAAAATTTAACATATATGTGCGAACCCTGGTTAACATATTTGACAACTGTTCCCATTTTTTTTCTGATCTCTATATAAATCGGCCGATTCTCACCATTTAGAATAACCACTTAGCAGTAGACTTTCACTTTCCAGGTTTTGAATTCATTTCATTTTTTTCTTTTTGGTTGTTCTTTTTTTCTTTTCTTTTGGAATACAACTAACAAACATATTATATACTCCCTTCCTCCCATAGAGTCATTCATTTTTTGAAAAAATTGTGTTACTTAAAGTAATTCTCATTTTTATTAAAAAACAATTTTTATCTCTTACCTTTTCATATCCTACTTATCACATCATATTTTTTTTCTAAATAATTTATATATCACATCATATTTTTACTCATCACATCAAAGATATTTTAAAAAAGTTAACACAAAATTATCTCATTATTTTTACCACTTTAGTCAAATTGTCCATATCTTTACAATATTGAGGGAGTATTTTTTTCTTCATAGGTTAAACTGATTGGTATAATTGTCTGTTCCTTTTTTATAGGCTTAACACCACCAAAAAGAGGAGAAGCGAGCCACAAAAGAAACACACATTGTCGGATCTCTGAATCGCTGCCATGTGTGATTTGTTGAGCACGTCACGACGCACCGGTATGGTTAAGTCATGGAAGAAGTTGAAGTACGATCACCTTATGCACGGGGATGAGCTACAAGGAATCATCCTTCGAACCGGACGAAATTCGAGACCGATGAAGATCGTGAGAGGAAAAATATTGGAAGAGCTAGAGCACTTGGAAAGCAAACGTCTCCAAACTGTAAAGGAAATCTATGATATGATTAAAAGTCATATTAATGCCATAGATCCACGACTCTTTCCAGCGCATGTGAATGAAATTAATTGAAAACTACTATCAAGAGTTGAGACCTTGTGTGTAAAAATAAATGGTTCTTTCTTTATGAACCTACACACCACAAAACAGAATTTTGTGGGTTCATAAAGAAAGAACCATTTATTTTTACACACAAGGTGTCAACTCTTGATAGTGCTTTTTAATTAGTTTCATTCACATGCGCTGGAAGTGAGGGACAATATGTAAAAGGTGTCAACTCTTGATAGTGCTTTTTAATTAGTTTCATTCACATGCGCTGGAAGTGAGGGACAATATGTAAAAGTCATATTTTACTTTTGCAAAAAAAAGTCCAGAGGTAGAGATCGTTGATGTGGGATCTTTTTTAGTTCCATATTGTCGGATCTCCGAATCGCTGCCACGTATGATTCGTTGAGCACGTCGCGACGCACCGGGATGGCTAAGACATGGAAGAAGTTGAAGTACGATCACCTTATGCACGAGGATGAGCTACAAGGAGTTATCCTTCGTGCCGGAGAAAATTCAAAACCAATAAAAATTGTAAGAGGTAAAATATTGGAAAAGTTAGAGGAACCAGAGAAGAAACGTTCCAGACAACAGGAGAAATTTATGAAGGATGTTCGAAAGTTGCTGAAGTGAAGAAATTGTTAGAAGTTTTGATGCTTGTGGTTCTATCTTGTTATTAATTGCTTTTGTGTTTGTGTTTCCATTTCGGCAGGAGTATTAGGTACTTTTTTCAGTCCTAAAAATATGGGAGTTACTGAATTTTATTAGATTTAAAAGAAGTGTATTTTTGATTAAAGTAAAATTTGATAGATAGATTATTATTAAAAAGATATGATGTAATAAGTAGGGTATGTCCGTCTTATTATTAATACTGATTAATTGGCTATTCTTATTTGCACACTTAGAATTATTATTCTTATTATTAGTATTATTGTTATTCGTATTTTTATAATACTGATTAATTTTCTTATTGTTATTTGCACTCTAAAAATTACTAATGACTTTTGACTTCCGTTTTTTCTAGTCATTAAAGTGACACTTATGCCCTTTAATTTAGTGCTTAGCCACACTCAATTTTCTTTTAATGCTTTGTCGTTTTTTTCAACTATTCACTTGATTTTTTTATTACTCCCTCCACCACACTTCGCAAAATGGTCTAGGATGATTTACTAATATTTTTTTCAGTTCAAATTATATGAAAATATATAGAGGGCACTTGAATTTAAAATAATTGTTTTAAAACTAACATTACAATGATACAATCAAGGTATCAACGGTACTCCACTTGTAAAATTGGTTGTTCTTGTCCCGGGCAAACGCTACATCCTGCTCATCCATATAGTTAAATGTACTGTTATCACAATTTGTGATCACATTATGTTATTCTTTGACCCAAAAAAATTAAAACATAAAATTATTATTAGTAAATAAAAAATTATTGAATTTAAGATAATTTTTATTTGTATTTCGAGAGAAGGGTAGTAAACAAAGGGGCTAGTCACAATCAATGTTAACCTACCCCTATACTCATAGACTTTTTCTCAAATTCGATAAAGGACAAAAAAAAAGTTGGGATGGAATCAGAAATTTGGCATTGTCATGTTTGGTCATTCCGCGTGCGATCTACCAAAGGAGTTTTGGACAGTCTTTGGTGGAATTAATTCCATTCCGTGAAGAAAAAGAAAAAATTGTTAAATTTTTGATGCATTTTTCAAATATATAAATTTTATTTTTAATTTTTATATTAATATTTAAATAAAATAGCTTAAAAGAATTTGAGATTTTATTTCGCTTTACACAAAGTAAAGAAAGAATATTAAAAATCGAAATAGATAATTTAAATTGAGATAAAAGGAGTATAATTTGATCCACTCTTCGAGGCTTGGGATTTGCATGCGCGAAGAAGGAAAAGAAACACCGAGTATTAACCATCGGATAAAACTAGGTTGTTCGAATGGTCCATGGGTCACACGAGATCATGATTGACTGAGAAGACAGCTCATGATGTCTAGTCTCATGCTTTTGCTTTCAAGAGTACGGAGTAGTATTTACTCCACCAGTCCACCTTTTCTCCCAATTAAAAAACCATTGGACCTTAACAAGTCTCATAGGCGGACTTTACTCTTTATCGTTAATAGATAATCAAAATTCAATTTATCTTTCTTTTAGTGATCGTTTGTTCAGATCTGAGAAGACTCTCGGAGATTGGGTTCATTTTTTTTTTAAACAAAGTTTTTTTTATAAAACGTAATTTCTGAAGGCCCTTCAGAATCAGTCAGACGATCGAGCATTTGAGAGAAGATAAATTAAGTTTTGATTGCAGGATAGTGACAAAGAGTAAAGTCTCCGCACTTGCTACTTGTGGGAGCTTTAATTACATATTAATGACAAATAAATTTCTCTTATCGCAGCTACTAAAAGCAAACTCAAATTTTACTCACTGGGCATCTCTTGTCTCTTGTCAATGTGGCAGCTCTTCTCTCAATTAAAAAGGGTAGGTTAGCTTTGGATTAACCTAGAGGTCTGTTGGAGATAAATACGATAACACGGACCAATCAAAAGTCGAGTATAACACTCTCAAATAAATGAGTCATAAACTACATAATCTAACCATTGGTAACATTAATTTTCATTTTTAATTATTTAAAGAAATATTTCTACTAAATAGCACTAAAATTTAAGTCATTTACCTAAAGATTGACATACTATAATCAAAAAAATAAAATTCATCACATTATTTAGATTTAACATTTTAAAAAGCAATACGAGAACACAATAAGAAAAATAACAATAATATAAATTTCTAAAAAAATTTTGAAAAATGAACATATACATCAAAAGGCACATAATCATGAATAAACAATTATCGATCTCGAGATTCTATAGCATACCTCACTTCTTTCTAAGAGAATCAGTCTGGGTCGAGAACATATTAAGATAGAAAAACCCAAAAAATGATTGAGAAACCATTCTTAAAACAATAAAAACAAAATCAGAATTAAAATAACTTACATCGAGTGATAATTTTAATGTAAGAAATCGAATAAAAATATATGAATCATGGAAGGAGAGAGAGAGAGAGAGTTGCGGATGAAGGAAGTTCAAAAAATTTAAACCAAAATTTAAACCATATATATCAATATGTAAATAAAATAAATTTAAAAAATTCAATATTTTATCTCGGGAATATATTTTGTAAGTGTTAGTGTGACAATTATTTAGGAAGGAGTAAAACATCTTTATTTTTTCAACCAAAAAAAACCTAACGGTAAAAATTGGAGGACCCATTATTGGATTGAGACCATAGCTTCTCAAGCAAATGGTAAGTAGTCATATGGTAGGGCCACTGGCGGAAGAGAAGAAAGCAAATATGAGAGCACTTGTGAATTGGGAATCGACACCATGACAGACGGCATGACATGACTTCTCAAGACGGGGTGAGTAAACATTTTGAAGAATCCCATCCGGTTTTATCCTGTGGTTAAGGACTCCGAATATTTATTGTGGTTCGAGCCCCGTTGAAGCATTTTTCACCGTGTGTGACGATCAATTTGTGTAGTGGTTCATACAAGAAAAATTTACCTAAATAAAATTTAAATATAATGACTTTTCTAATACAAGACAATATGTTTTTATTTTCCAATGTTAGACCTTTGGTCATTATGAAGTAATCATTATTCAAATAAATGTCCATCATCATTACTGGACTTATTCCCCTCACTAGGTCATTATTAAGTCCTATTTAAAAAATAAAAAAGTTTAAGTCCTACATTAGGAAAGTCATTATCTTTTAGTCTTATTTAGTGTAAATTTCACTTCATACAATCATACCCAATAGTCCAATACAAGTTCCATTATTATTACTCAGTCATTTTTTTGTTTTGAAGAGGGTGCTTTGGGGGGGACTTGGATAGTTGTTATTGTAAAATTTTTTTGATTTCTATTAATAATTTATTTTTATCTTTATTAATTTTTAATCTATCTGTTATATCATATCTTTTTATTAAGGAGTAGTAATCTACACATTATATCAATGATACTTTAAGAAAGTAAACAAAAAATTATCCTTATTTAAATTTTTTAAAAGTTAAAATTGGAACATTTTTTTAGATGGATAAAGTATTAAAGTCCATCCTAATTTCATGAAGTGTAAAATTTAGCCATTCAAGTTTAATTTAAGTAGGGAAAGAGGAATCTCGGCATTTCATTTTTTATGGGGGCATAACTAATATTTTTAATACCTTAGGGTACTAATTTAAAAAAACTTAAAATTGACCAGTGATGCCATTTTCTCTCATCTCTATATATATCGGCGGCCTATTCAATAATCTTACCACACTCTCCATTTCAAATAACTAGTTAGCAGTAGACTTTCCAGGTTTTGAATTCAATAACCTTCATTTCATTTTTTTTCCTTTTTTGGTAGTTCTTTTTTTTCCTTTTCTTTTGGAGTACGACTAACAAATCTATTATATTCTCCCTCTGTCTTTAAAATAGTTTTCCTTATTGACTTTTTAGATAATTAAAAGAAAAATATATGTTTTGGTTTTTTCCTTCAAAAATACTGTTGATCTAATATATAAAATATTAATAAAAAAAGTATAATGTGATAAGTAGGTTATAAAAAAATAAGAGTAAAAGTGATTTTTTAATAGATAAGGGAAAGAGTTTGTGAGACAAGAAAAAAAAGAAAAGAGAATGAGTTTAAAGGAGGAAGGGAATTTTTTTTTTCACAGAAATAATTGGTACAACAGTCTGTTTGTTTTTCTATTTGCTTGACGTTATCAAAAAGAGGATAAGCGGGCTACAAAGGAAATACATATTGTCGGATCTCTGAATCGCAGCCATGTGTGATTCCTTGAGCACGTCGCGACGCACCGGGATGCCTAAGACATGGAAGAGGCTGAAATACGACAACCTCATGCACGAGGATGAGCTACAAGGAGTTATCCTTCGTGCCGGAGAAAATTCAAAACCGATTAAAATTATAAAAGATACAATATTGGAAGAGTTAGAGGAACCAGAGAGAAAACGTCCTCAAACAAAACAAGAAATTTATGAAGAGATAGGTTAAAAGTGGCAAAAGTGAAAGGATGGTCAAAAGTGGCTGATGCTTATAGTTTTATGTTGTTAGTAATTGCTTTTGTGTTTGTTTTTCTATTTCGATAGGAGTATTATGTACTCTCTTTGGCCCTAAAAACATGTGAATTATTGATTTTTAATACTCCAGAGTAGATTTAAGAGAATTGTATTTTGATTTAGAGTAAAATTTGATAGATAGATTATTGTAAAAAGGTATGATGTATTACCTCTATCCTAAAGTATTTGTCCACTTTCATTGTTACACACCATCTAATATATTACTTTAATTCATTTTATCTTGTAATTTGTATATTAAAAAATTATAGAAATTATATAGTAATAATCTACATGTTAAGAAATTATTACTCCCTGCACCACACTTTTTTCACAAAATGGTCTAGGATGATTTACTAGTATTATTTTTATTTCAAAGTATATGAAAACAAATAAAGGGCACTTGCATCGCATGATAATTTGTAGAACTCAAATAACTTACATCGCATGATAATTTTAAGGATTATGCTATGTGTACCCCAAAGTTTGTACCCCAATTTGTACCCCGCAGTTTTGCCCCAACACTTTGTGTTGGTGTAAAACTAATTTTTGTTAAACGCACCAACATTTGTGTCCGTGTGAATATTTATTAACGCACCAACACTTGTGTCGGTGTAAACCATCGAAATGTTTGTGCAAGCCTGTGGTGTACAAATGGGGTATATTTTTTGGTGTAAGTGTAGCATAGTCCGATAATGTAAGAAATTGAATAAAAAATTCGGAGTAAATGAATCATGGACGAAGAGAGCATCATAATAGGGAGAGAGAGTTGCGAATGAAAGAAGCTTGGGCCGGGCTGGGACGCTGGGTTGATATCTTGGGCCTTTTTTGTAGACCTCTTATTTTGTTTAAAATTGAGTAAATTCCATATTTGGTTCTTTATAATAGGGAGTTTCCATATTTAGTCCTTTATTATCAAATATTACTCCCGTAGCCCTTTTTTAAGGGTATCTTTCCACAAATGACCCTTTTTGATCTTTTGTCATGTTGGTGTTAATTTAATGGCTAAAAGTATAATTTGGCATCAACATTATATTTAGTAACATGTTCTGATATTGGTTAAGCGAATAACACAAAAATAATGACTATGATTATAGGTTAGGATTCTGACGAAAAACTACATTTGTAGATTATGATTATAGTAAAAAGTGACTTAAGTCACAAATGACGCAAAAGAAATAACCTTTGGAATTGTGTATGACAAACAAAATATATTATCATTGTGAAATTACACTTTTAGCTCTCAAATTAACATCAACATGATAGAAGATCAAAACGGACTATTTATGGAAAGACACCCATAAAAGAAGATCACTGTGGTAATATTTGATAATAGAGGACTAAATAGGGAAACCCTCATGTTATAAAGGACCAATTATACTTCCTCCGTCCCACAAAAAAGTTCTTATTTTGACCATAAATTGGTCAAACCATTGCACACTTTGACCATAAATTAAATATAATCTAAATAAAAAAATACTAAAAAATTTGAGATATCAAAACTAGATCCTAAAATGAATCCAATTATATAAAATTTATTTCATAATTCAATATACATTTCTCACAATTTGTAATCAAAGCTTGTAAATATTTGACTAAATAATATTTAAAATGAGAATTTTTTTGTGGGACGGAGGGAGTAGAATTTAATCTTTAAATTTTTTTTAAGTTGGTAGAAATTAATATTAAATTTTTATCTTTTTATTTAAATATAAAATTCCAAAAAAACAAGAGTTATCAAATAAACAATGGAAGCTACTAAAGAAAGTTATAAAATCTTGACGGTGTAAATAATTACATACTAACTCCGTTCTCAAATATATGTTCAGTTTTGACTTTTTTCAGTAAACTGTTTTCAATCTTTGACTTATAATTAAATAAAAAATATATTGAATATTAATTAGATAAATTAATATTTTAAAAATATTTGATATAACCTCCAACTCAAATGCAATCATACCTACCTTTTACCTTCTCTTACATCCCCCCTTCCCCTAGGACTCCTTAATTGAAAAACTGTCCAATCTATCATATCATCCTCTACATAGGTATATGTTGTGTGTATGCTTTCATTGTGTGGTACTATGTTTTTTGGGAAAATAGCTGCGTGAGGACATATACACTAAAGTGCTTTTAAAAAAAAGCTAGAGGCCATATAAAAAAGAGTTAGCTAGAGGTCAATCGGTCATTGCTTGCTCCTTTTCTTGAAGTGAGTGTTGATTACAAAAATAGCTTTGCATAGATAGATGAAGAGGGTGTTTGGCAGTGAGCTGCTTTTAATAATTTAGCTTCTGCTTTGAGTAGAAGTGATTTTACTCTGTTTGGCATGTCAGCTTCTGCTTTTCATCACCACTAATTTGTACATAGAACAACGTTTCGGAGAAGCAGGTATGAGGGGCTTTTGCTTTCAACTTTTGTGGAAATCACTTTATTCACAAGTTAATTACTCCCAAACACCCTCGAAGTATTTTTGTTCAGTCTAAAAAACTGCAAATTGTCATTATTATGTGATTTTAATGTCTCAGAGTTCCCATCATATTATGTGATTTTTTTATACATACAGCAGACTGATGTAAAATAACATAATAAGTCTGTAATCTTGGTCGTAGTTAATGTCAATTTTTTAAGCAGTAGAGAGTATATCTTTTATAATTTGTATTAATTTTTTGCGAACATTCAAGCACTTCACTTTAGTAGTTTTCTCCCTTTTTCAGGTGGTTTAGGTGTACGAGGAGAAGATCCTGGGAGTCAACTTAGAAGAAAATCCAAATCAGCTATGGCGGAATTATAAGGTTCACGTGTACGTACTTAATTAGCGAACTGAAAATAATGTTTGTAGTGAATGTGATTTTGATGGATTCAAATGCTTGCGATCATTTGGAAGCCAGAATTGCTCTGATCTAAATGGGATTGATGTAAAAAATCTCAATTGATTAGAAAATGATATTTGTACTCTTATTCTAAGATCATAAAAAAATTCATTGGTTTATTCTAAGGTCATTAATTAAAAAAATTAAAATTAGAAAATAATTTTAGAACTAGAGGATAGCACTGTTTACTTTCTCATGAATATCATTTCTCTACCAAACCTTAGAATTGGGTCTTTTTTTCACACAGTTTTAGAACTTTTAGTAGTTTTCTCCCTTTTTTTCACTGACTGTGAACACCTTATTGTCCCTTTTTTTCCCACATCAAATTGCTTTATAGTTCACATAGTATTATGTGATTTTGTATACATACACCATACTGATTTAAAACAACACAATAAGTCCGTAATCTTGATCGTAGTTAATGTGATTTTTTAAGCAATGGAGAGTATATTTTTTATAATTTGTATTAACTTTTTGCAGGCGCAGTTGGGTTTGGTGTTGTTGGATTAGTTTACGAAGATTCAAGCACTCAACTTTTTGTATTAACACCCAAATACGGTGTTATAGTTTCAATAGAAAAATTATTTGCTCATGCGAATATCTATGTACGAGTGAAATCAAAACGTTATTTGGCTATAAAAGAGTAAATATTTTTGTTTATTCATAATCTTAGTTTTGTTTAATGATTAGTTTTACAGATTGTGCCTTATAAATTAGTTTTGTTTCTTCCTGTTCATAATGAAGAAGCAATTTGGGATAAGTTCAAACTTAGGAAACTATTTATTCATAAGAGATTAATTTTGTTTGATCTTTAAAGATTAATTCTTTTCCTTTCTTCTGAATTCTTGAACCAAACATAGCGTAAATGTTAAGTTTATCATAAGTCGCAATGTCGCATCATCATTTGTATCATCCTATAGGTCGGAGTGTTTTTGGTAAGTCTAAAAAAGTGCATATTGTTTGTGTTTTAATAATTTTAATGCACCTTTGATATATGAAGAGTTAATGTTTATTTTTGTCATGTGAAAAGATGATGATCATTGGGGACACGCTTGCCAAAATTCTAATGAACTGTAGGTGACATAAATCATTAGAATCACTTTTTCGTGCACTCTTTCAATTTCGTGTATAAGAAGTTTCATTACAAAATGCTAATTGATATATTATTTATTCTACTTTGTTGCTAATGAATATATTATTAAAAAAAGCGTGTTACAAATATATTTTCTTCAATCTGGAAAAAATTTCAATTAAAAAATATTTTTTGAATCGACAAAAATTTTGTTCAAACCCACGCGTGGCACATCTCAAAATACTAATTTTGTCATACGTTTTCAATTTGTTAAACCTTTTTATCTAGAATTTGCATCTCAATTACGATTACATATATTTCAAACCCCAATGCTTGATATTTATTTAGAATCTAGCTGCAAGGATACCCTATTTTACATATCAATCAAAATTTTAAACCTTACATTTTTCTATTTTATTTTTACAGTCATGCAGAGTCAATCAAATGAGAGATGGATTTTGGGAGAAAGATGCAGGAACACGACGAAAAGATTTAAGTAAGTACAAAAGAGAAAATAAAGGTGTGTTTTAAGTGAGTTAGTATTTTAAACATGTATGTTGTTTAAAGTTATTGAATAAATTTTTTTAAAATATTCATTCAATTATTTAAAATTATAAATGCAGATGGAGTGGAATCATCATCACGTGTAACAATGTGACAATCTACATTAACAACAAAAAGAACCCCATTAGTGGATGTGACAAATGGTATGCATAGCACTTTATGATTGGATGTATATTTTTTATACTTCTTTTACAAAAAAAGAGGCAATAAAGTAAAGTATTCTTTGTCACGTCTTCATATTTGAAAAAATGACTATACAATGTTAGAACGACATCAAACTATTGCACCATTATTTTGCACAAACAATTGCATCATTATTTTGAATTTATCACATGTAATAATTATTTTATAATTCCATTTTTATCGTATCTAACAATATATATTATACTTATCTTTATTTTATACGGAGTAATTATTTACTTAAAATAAAAAATTAGCAGAGTTAAAAATAACATGTGTTCGACCCCGTGCGTGGCACAGGTAGAAATACTCATTTATTCTAATTTTGGAATGATAAAGTTTGTTCATAGCTTTCCATATAACATAACATACCGCTGCAAATGTAGCTATACTTCGTTTCTTCATCTTTCCTTTGAGCTACAAAATCTGCCCTCTGATTTCTTCCACCAACCTCCCATCCATAGTGTACTGTACGAGATTAGCCAGTCGCCTGATTAGACTTTTAGAAACTTGACATCGACAAAACAAGTGGTCTATGTCTTCCTCTTCCTGTCCACATAATTCACAAGTTCTATCAATGTCTAGAAACTTCCCAAACCTGGTTTTAGTGTTGATTCGACAAATTATTTTTAGAACCAAACATTATAGGGCATACATTGTTTAACATTTACTCCGTATAATTTTATGTATCTCAATAGAGAAAATGAGCTTGATGTTCGTCATAAACAATCCCCAAGTGTCATGATCTCAACTTTGACACGTGAACCTATTGACGAATGTAGCAAAAATAATGACGGTACTTTTTAAATTTTTCCTATTTTTTAACATGCATTATACAAAAAATAACAATAACCCAATTGAATCCCACAAGAGTAAGGGTTTGGGAACGGTGTGTGTACACAGACCTTATCCCCCTACTCAAAAGTAGAGAGACTGTTTCCAAAGAGACCTCAAGCTCAACATCAAAAGTTGCATTGCTTGACTAACTGCTAATTCATTAATTAAAGAAGTACAGACACTTTAGAGATCTATTTCTATTTGGAGTGGTGTGATATGTTTCATGTATATGTTATAACAAATTTTAGTATACATTGGGCAATTAAGTTATCGTCATATTAGTAATTATGGGTTGTTTTTATGTTTCATAGCGTTTATGATCAATCAAAAATTTCACTGTGCATCGCACATGTTAGAATCTAGTGGTCACAAATTTATCATTTGTGAGTCAAATTCTCATTTTTAAAAACTCTTTTAGGCTATTTTAGTTTGTGAATAATTTCTCTGAAGTTTTGATATGAACATGACGCCGTATGAGAACGCCAACTACTAATCCTTTTTTCCCATTTCAACAACCTAATTGGAAAGTTAAGGGCAGAGAATTGTGAATCTCAAATTTTCTTGTGGTCAGAAAAAAAGAGTCTCATACATTGTTTAAACCACAAACACCATTTAGACCAAACTAGAAAAAACTAATTAATTAATCACATTTTGTTTTTGGTTTAATGAATTGTCATATTTTCACCATTTCCAAACTTTAGAGATTTTTTTTCAGATGGAGAGAAACAAAAAGATTCAAATTTTTAAATTCCAGCATTATTTTATCACCTCCCCATCGTGTTTCATGTGATTGATTCCTGGTATGTTCTTTTGATTTTTATCTACACATGTTGAAAAACAATTAATGATATAGCAAATTTTGGTTTTTGGTGAGGATTATTATATTTATTTGGGGATTTTTATGTTAGCCTATTTGAGAATTTTGATGATGAGCTGGTCTCAGATTTACTGATATCAATTTTGCAAATGATATTCTTAAAGACCTGATCAATTTATTATCCATTGATTCTCTATTTTGGGTATAAAAAAAAGATTTTTTATCTATGTAATACATCAAAATTTGACACAGAGAGGAAAAAAGACAATTTAAAAAGATATGATTTTTTAAATGTAAGAGAACAAATTAATATGAATACAAATCATTTTGAAATATGTCAATCCAATTTCAGAAATTCATAATGGCTTTCTCAAAATCATTGCTAAAATGGTCTCCTTGATAGGTATCAATAACCCATTTTGCTAAGATGCAAACATATCTATTCATATATACTCTACAATGCTTGTTTTAACTTTTATTTGGTTTTACATCTAATACCAGGTACCTTCAATTTTGCTCACCTTAAATGGAGGAAGTGGAAAATATGAAGAGAGATATTCCCTCTGAATCCTTTCCAGGAACTACTGAAGTAACATCATCAATGAATGATGATTCACCGGATATTGTATTCGAAACGGATAAAAGTACAAGTCAAATTGTAGAATTTGAGGCACGCGCTTTGCCCGTGGATGATTTCATATGTGATCATCCTAGACAGGACCAGAATGGTTCATCTACATCAGACATAAATTTGGTTTTGAACTCCCCAAGTGAAGTTGATAATTGTGGAACTATGGGAACTCCTGTAAATAGTTCTGCACTTGAAGATGAATCATCATCACTCAATTCCATTTCATCGGATTCGAAACCGGTTGAAGCATTACAACCACTTGTTGATACCTCAGACTTCTTATTGGCAGATTCAGAGAGTGCAAAGTTTCAAGAGGGAGTAACAAAGGAGCATGAAACAACTCCATTGAATCCGGCTATAGATCTTCTTGGAGACATTATCACTTCTCAAGACAATGACACTTTCAATGATGACCATTTAACCTCCTCCCATCCAGAAATGAGAGAAGCTGCTCATGAAAGTGTCAATCAATTGTTGCCATTGGATCCGGATGGTGTTGGCCACCTACAAGCCAATGTTTCCGATCATCTAGAGCCATCAAATGACATTGATATGCCGGTGACTGATTTTTCGAATCAGCACACAGAAGTTCCAGTTCATGTAATGCCATTAGATGGTGCTGTTGATCAGCACTCATTAGCCAAAGTTTCCACTCATTTAGTGCCATCCCATGATGATGATGATGATCATGATGATGATGCTAGGTTACGCCAAGCAAAAATTAGTAGCTTTGCTGCTAAACAGTCGGCATCTTTCCCTTCCAATCGTCCTGAAAATGCAGGCATTGACAGAGTTCAGATCGACACGGCAATGCCTATAGAATCTGTGAAGCATGCTGTTTCTAAATTCGGAGGAATTGTTGATTGGAAGGCTCATCGAGTTCAGACTGTGGAGGTATAATGATAAGAATAATAATATGTGTTGATTTTATACTTCCTTTAAGAACTATCTGTCAATGACTTGATGATGATGATGATGATGATGCAGAGGCGGAAGTGTATTGATCAAGAGCTAGAGAAACTGCAGGAGGAGATTCCGATATTCAAAAAGCAATGTGAAGAATCTGAAGAGGCCAAAATGCAAGTGTTAAAGGAGTTGGATGGAACAAGAAGACTGATAGAGGAATTGAAGCTCAACCTTGAGAGAGCACAGACAGAAGAACAACAGGCGAGGCAGGATTCCGAGCTTGCGAAGCTGAGAGTGGAAGAGATGGAGCAAGGGATCGCCGACGAGGCCAGCATTGCAACCAAAGCCCAACTCGAGGTTGCCAAAGCACGACACGCCTCCGCCGTGTCGGAGCTCCAGGCGGTGAGGTCCGAGCTGGAACAACTTCGCGAAGACTACGCGGTGCTGGTGTCCGAGAGAGACGCGGCGGTGAGGAAGGCGGAGGAAGCCGTCTCCGAGTCGAAGGAAGTCGAGAAGTGCGTGGAGGATCTGACGGTTGAGCTGATAACGATGAAGCAAAACCTAGAGGCGGCGCACGCCGCGCATCTGGAGGCGGAGGATCACCGAATCGGAGCGGATCTGGCGAGAGAGCAGGACACGCTTTACTGGGAGGAAGAAGTGAAGAAGGCCGAAGATGAAATCTCTAGGTTAAATCAACAGATCCTCTCTGCAAATGAACTGAAATCAGATCTGCAAACCGCTTCGGCTTTGTTACACGACTTGAAGGCAGAACTCGCCGCTTACATGGAGACGAAGCCTCAACAACACGAAGAAGCCGATGCGGGAAGAACTCATTCTGGAATCCAAGCGGCGGTGGAATCAACCAGAAGAGAGATCGAAGAATTGAAGCTTCAAGCAGAGAAAGCAGCCTCTGAAGTGAATTGCTTGAGATTAACTGCCGCGTCTTTAGAGACAGAACTGGAAAGAGAGAAGGCTGAACTCGCCGGTACTCAACAGAGAGAAGAAATGGTGTCGATTTCTGCTGCATCCATTGAAGCTGAACTGAACAGAACCATATCCGATATTTCCCTCGCACAGATAAAAGAGAAAGAAGCAAGAGAGAAGATGGTGGAGCTTACAAAGCAGTTGCAGGTGGTTGCTCAAGATGCAAATCAGGCAAAATCTCTTGCTGAAGCAAGACAGGCAGAACTATGGAGGGCAAAGGAAGAAGCCGAGCAGGCCAAGGCGGAAGCTAATACCATAGATAATCAACTACATGCAGTTCATAAGGAGATAGAAGCTGCAAAAGCTGCAGAGAAACTGGCATTAGCAGCCATGAACGCACTGGAAGAGAGCGAATCAGCTCGAAAGAACAAAGAATGGGATTCGCCAACTGGTGTGAAAATATCCTTGGAAGAGTACTATGAGTTAAGCAAACAGACACATGCTGCAGAAGAAGAAGCAAATGCAAGAATCGCAGCTGCCATGTCCCAAATCGATGTCGCCAAAGAGTCAGAACTCAAGAGCATGAAGAAGCTTGAGGATGTCAACCAACAATTGGCTGAGAAAAAGAAAGCACTAGAAACTGCAGTGCAGAAAGCTGAGGAAGCCAAGGGAGGGAAGCTTGCTGTGGAACAAGAGCTGAGGAAATGGAGGGAAGTGCATGAGGAAAGACGCAGAATCAGCGAATCTGTTAACCGAAATAGCTGCCCAAGATTGAGCTTTGAAGACAGGAAAGAACATGATGCATCCATACTCCATCATAGGTCTCCGAAAGGAAACGTGCACGAAAGCAATCATGAGAATCCATTTACGCAGGAAGGCAGCGCGGAACACGAACCATCTCTTGAGGCCACAAAGACCACAAAGAAGAAGCGAAGATCCTTCTTCCCTCGGATTTTCATGTTCTTGGCCAGAAAAAAGAGCTCCAAGACAGCATGATGATGCCCTCTATGTGAACTACCCTTATACTGCTCTTAAAGAGATGTCGGTAGATTGATTCGGTGTGTACATAATTATAAGTGTACATTTTGATCATTGTTTTGTGTACATATCAATATATCATTCACAGTTGGAATATCAGAGTTTTTGTCATTTCGAGTTGGTGTTTCAACTGTTTTTTGCATTCACAGCTCTAATACAGAGATCAACAGTGAAGAACACAAGAAAGGAGGGAATAAAATTCATTCAAACAAATTCTATAGGTTTTGTTCCATTGACACCATCCTTTAGCTGTGTAGAAGACATTGTACAAGTGTCTAAGCTCGCTAGAAATCTACTCAGGATCCATGATCCTCTGACACAGAAAACAACAATAAAAGGAAACAATTGATAAACAAAAAATATCAAACAGATGGAATAAGCTGCTGCTTCATGTTTCTTCAGATTCCCTCCAAAACTTGGCTGGTAACCCGTGTATAGGAACTGGGTATGGATCATACTGAATTCCATTTTCACCCCCTACCACTTCCCACCTGCATCCAACAATAATCTCAGAGACATGGCATGTTTATTGTCACCATATGGTACCAAATCGAAACACGTACGCTTTTTCCATTTATCTTTTTACCTGAACTTGGTAACGAGATGATGTGTCATTATTAACATTTCAAGCTTGGCAAGTTCGTTTCCAGGGCAGGCATGTACGCCGCTGCCAAAAGGCATGAATGTATTCGGCTTTGGAGCTTTCTGTGAAGAAGAAGAAAAGGAAGGAAAGAAATCAAAATAATTTATTTTTATCACTTTTTTTTAACTTCCTTGAAAAATGCATGCTATCATGTTGTTGAAAAACTGCTTGGAGGGCATACCTCAAATCTGTAAGGATCAAATTTCTGTGGATCAGGAAAGAAAGCTGGATTATGATGACAATTCCTGAAGGAAGGCATAACCTTCCAGCCCTTAGGAATTAGGTACCCTACATGGTTACATATATATATATTTGTGTCAGCAAATATTTAGTAGTGTTTTTTTCTCTGTCACAAAACTACAACAATTATACCTTTGTATTCAACATCCTTCACAGCCTCTCTGAAAGTGTAAGATATAATGCTTGCCATTCTCAAACTCTCCAAGACAACCTTGGAAGTAAGGGGCATTTCTCTGGTGTTTCTCCATGTCAAATGGTGAGTTCCTTTCGTATTAGATTCTCCAATTTCTTTCTGTTCAACCTGAAAGAAACAAACATAGGATCTTAAGTTGTGTAAATTGTAGTTCTATCATAAAAATGTTTCATTACTTATCAAGGAGTTCATTCATTCATTCACCTTGACTGAGCGAAGAAGCTTGGGGTCATCGTGGAGGTACTTGACGATCCAAGTCAAGGCACTTGCGGTCGTGTGCTGAGCAGCGAAAAGAACGCCGATGATGTTGTCGGCAATTTGGTCATCATTGAGACACATTCCATTCTCATCTTTAGAACCCAGGAAACAACTCAAGAGTTCATTCTGTGATGGCTTCTTCTCCTTCCTCTCTGCCATAATTTCACTTAGTGTTTTGCTCAGCCTCTTTCTTGCCTGTATGTTTTCAACCATTTACAAATCACAGTTGTAAGTCAAAAAAAAGTAGTGATGAATGACTAATAATTTAACATGTTCTAACAATTCCAATGCCAATTATGGATAAAAACCTTCATAGCTTTGGCGTATCGACTACCCGGAATCCTTGTTGGAAACGAATTGAACCCTTCCTCAACGATGGAATAATTCTTCCCTAGCTCTTCCTTGTAGTGATCCTCCAATTGTCCAAATATAACCAAGATACCAACTTCGAACGACAACTGGCCATACCACAAAATTCATTCGATATCAAAAAAATTTAAAAATTCTTTGTTACTTCTCATGTCTGAAACTGTAAAAAAAGAAACCAACTCAACAAAAAGCTCAGACAAAGACACACCTTTTTCATCTGGGAGAAGGTGGTGACGACCTCGCCATCCTCCCAAGAGCCCAACACGGACAACGTGATGCCCTCAACGTCTGCAACAAAGGTGGCTATGGCCTCTGGGCTTAAGCACCTTTGAACCATTTTCCTAATGCCCAAGTGGTAGTCTCCTTGGTGGAAGAAGAGGGCCGACGGCCCGATCAAATCCTCCTTGCTCTTCGGGTACGTGGGCTTGAACAGGTGAGCATGGGTCACGAGCACGAACCTCACAGCCTCCGGGCTAGCCATCATCACACAAGAGTAACCCAACACCCTAGTCTTGAAAATTTCCCCATACCTAACCACAAAAACCCATCTTTTATAAGAAAACTGTATATCAAACTGTAAAAAAACAAACAGAAAAAACAAGAAATGAAATAAAAGTTGCATGAAATTAACCTAGCGTGTTTGTGGGAGTAAAAGATGTTTGGGTGTTGAGCATAGAGTTGAAGAGTTTCGCCTATGTATGGCCATCCCATTGAGCCTGGAGGGAGCTTTATTGCTTTCTTCTTTCTTGTTGCAGCAGCCAAAAGGATAATACTATATGAAGTTAACACACAGAGAAAGAGGGTGACTATTAGTATGAAAATACACAAGATATCATAGTTTTCCATTTCCTTTCTTGTTCTTCTTCTTCCAATGGTTTTTTTTTTCAACCAAGAAGTGTTCAGAGGTTGCAAGATTTTTTTTTTCTTTTCAAAGTTGTGAGTTTGTGAGAGACAAAGAGAGATGTGTGATATATGCATATGATGAGGAGAAATGTTGGTGAGTGTATTATAGGGAAGAGGAGAGGTCAGGAGACAAAAGCTTGGTCTTTAACTCAAACAAAGTTATACCCAATCTCGATGTCCTTCAAGACAGTTCGGACAATAAACTGAAAAAAATTAGATTAAATTATACTAGGCTGATCGAAAATAAAATTTATTCCTAGTATTGAAACGGAGTTTATTTTTAACATTGTCATTTTTCATGTCGCTACTTAAAAAACATTTAAATTCAAATTAATCAATACATCGTATATCCTCTCGACCAGTTGAATTATGCTGAGACGGAATAGTTGAGCTTTAACTATTCAAATTATTCTTATTTTATTTTTTACGTATCTTATAAAACATTTCTACTAACATCTAAAATGATAAAAATTGTCACATTTCTACTTTATTGTAGGTAGAATTTATTTTAAAGGTTTTTTTGACATTTGAGAAGAACGATGCAAAGATATTTTTGAGATGCACAAAAAAATGAAATAAGAACCCAAGTAATAAAATATTCTGTACATATTTAAAGCATTTTATAATATAAATTTATTCTATAAAGTAACTCTTGACTTAGAGCATCTCGGGCGTAAAATGCTGCACTTCTTAACTTGTGTGTCCGGCACAGTTTCATTCAATGATCCCCCAAACTCAAACCCGATTTGTGGTTTTCTTTTTTTCTCTCCATCGTCAAAAGCATCTACTAGCTACTTAGCTAGAATGTGATGAATAGAGTTGTTGAATATTTAATTTATTGATGTTTGCAGCATGTGTGTAAATAAAAATAAATGAGTGTGTAGTAAAAATTAATAAGCAAAGACAAAGAATATACTGGTTCGCCACCTTGTGACAAATCCAGTTTCACGATAGACTTTACTACTACTTATTAAGCTTAATTAGATTTTTGATAAATTGTTTACAACTTGAGAGCTTAAATCACATAAGCTTCAACACAATGAATCTGAGATACGTCCTCTACATGACTTCAGTTCAAACTCAAAACTTAAGTTCCATAAATCTTGTACAACAAGAAATTTAATTTTCTTCAACCTCACAACAAGAACTCTTAAAAGAGTAAAAATGAGAAAATTATTAAGTTCTATGTATGACAAAGAAACTCTCTTGAAAACAAATATTTTTCTTTCAAAATAATTTAATTTGAGAAATAAATTAATGCAATAAGATAACTACAAGAACTTTTATTTATCAATTATAAAAACTAGTGAGTCAATATTTTCATACTTATTCAGATCGGAGTATTTTTAAAATTTTAAAAAAATTGAATTAAGACATCACATCACAAACCCGTTCTAAATTCCCTTGGTTCCCAGTGGAATGGAAAATAATGTCGTGCATGCACATTCCAACCATTAGTGTATTCTAAAAACATTCTCTTTTTTTTTTTGAAATTAGTGTTAGAATATAAATAATTGTTCCTGGGGTACAATCACAAGCTTGAGTTTTTGGTTGAATTGGTTCCTTAATATGGTATCAGAGCCTCGTTGACTAAGAGATTACAGGTACGAAACTCAGCGTCACCCAGTTTAAAAAAAATAAAAGTTTCACGTGCAAGGCTCGAAAAAAACTAGGCCTTCACGTGAGGGGGCGTGTTAGAGTATAAATAATTGTTCCTGAGCTACAACCACAAGCTTGAGCTTTTGGTTGAATTGGTTCCTTAACAATTAGTCTTCAATAAGTAAAGACTACATGTTTGATTCTTTAAAATTCGAACTTATTTTCTAAATGATCTTTTGTATAAAATATCTATTAAATGTTAAACAAATAAAAAGTATATAATTTGATATTTTCTATCATTCAGACGTAAAGTATGTTTTTCAAAGGCTTCTTTATAATTAGTATTTTTCAAAATGATAATTTATAAGTTAATATGTTTTTGAAATGGAGTCCATAAATCTACTCGGGGTGAGTCCGTTCCTCTAGTAGTCACCCACTTAATTCAAAAATAGCATTTCAAGAATTTATTCGTAGTTTAGATATACCATTTTAAGAATTTTAAGAAAGTGTCAAAATATCTTCTACTACATTTTCAATTTGATAGATATTTTTTACAAAAAAAACTATTTTTTTACAAAAAAAACACCTTATGAGAAAGAATTATTTTGGCACTCATTCTCTTTATGAAATAAGTCCAAAACGATAAAAAAAACCTGCCCCGTTTTAACCGGTTTCACCCGGTATGAGATATGCACGAGGGAGGGAGTCAAAGAAAGGGAAGAAACAGAAAATCTAAGCCAAAGATTCTGCAAAGATCCTAAGCGGACATCTGCCAGCACACGTGTCTCATTCGCCCCATGCCGCTAAATTAAATTATTATTACGGGACTAAAGTAAATAGGACGGACGCCCAGAGTAGATCGATTGATTATACGGAGGAGGAGGAGGATACAAAATATCGTTTTGAGTTTTGACCAATAATGGAAACACGTCGACACCATTTAATCATTTCAGTGTCATCCCCTAATTTTTTTTGTCTTTCTTTGTTTTCTTCCTTTCCAAATTACCTACTACCTCCGTCCCATTGTCTTTGTCCACATTTGACTTTTGGAACTGTTCATCTAAGCACTTTGACTCATCAAAATCTCCTAATGTGTAAGCCTAAAAATAGTCATGTGTGATCTTGTTTGATTCGTCTTAACATATAGATTATTAATATATAATTTGTATAATTTTTTAATATACAAATTACAAGATAAAATGGACTAAAAAAGTGCATTGGATGGTGTGCCAAAAGGTAAGTGGACAAACACAGTGGGACGGAGGGAGTATTTGGGTTCAAAAACTGTCTCTTGTTTATTTCCTTCATCCCAAAATATTTACAACATTTACTTTTCTCTACAATCTCAAGAACTTTTTTTTATTTTTTCATTTTCATTGATTATTTGATAATATAACATATTCTTTACACTTCTTATTTCGAAGATCTTTTCATGTAATTTTTTGATACGTAAATTTTAATTTTAATTTGTATACCAATATGTAAATAAAATGAATTTAAAAACCTTAATATTTTATCTACGAGAATACAAGTGTCGCAAATATTTAGGGACGAATGAAGTATTATATGTATAGTTAAATTTTATAAATTTTTCTAATTTTTTATGTAATTTTTTAATATGTAATTTTTTAATATGTAATAAATAATTTTTTAATTCTACACATATTTATATAAAATAATTTAGTTAAATATTATAACGTATAATGAGAATATATTTTTTGAACAGGATAGTAGATATCTTTTTTATTATATGATGAGTAGATGACCTCATGAAACATGTTAAGATATTCTTCCTGATAGATTTTGTAAAGCTCCAACATGCATTTTTTATATAGAAAATAAAATTTAGATACAATTCATAAAAAATAATGTCCAAAGTTTGAGTACTTGTGAGAAATTGTATATTCTTCTATAATCCTTAGATACATTTACATTTATACACCTTCACAAATGCATAAAATAATTTCATATAACGTCTTCTAAAATTAAAAATATCTAGCTATGAACGTTTAAAATAAGATCATTTTTACTAGGGATACTCTCTAAATGATGTACCTAATTTATACATCATCAATTTTTAGTGTAACATACATTCTTTTCATACTTCAATCATCCTAATTTAATTGTAACATTTCAAATTACGTGTGAAATAGATCTTTTTTTAAATTGGGAGACCAATGTTTGTAGGGATGAAAAAGGTGCAACTAGTAACAACCGCCCAAGTGTCCAAAAGGTATTAATTTTAAAAAGGATGGGCGCAAGCAGGAAATGGGTCAGAGATGCATCGTCCGGTCCGTACGTCTGGCACATTTTTCCCCGTACGTATATCCCCTCTCACAATTTTCTACACTATCCGCTACAATTTCCACATTTTTCTTTGCTCATTTTTATTTCTTCTGTCTATCTCGTTCTTGAAAATAGTAAAATACTTCCCATTTTGACTAAATGTCAAAATAAGAAAATGTTAAATTTTAGTTGACTTTTATATTTGTCTTTGAAACGATGGATAAAATTATTAAAAAAAAGTGTCATGGGTAGATTATTAGAAAAAAATATGATGTGATAGCTATGATAAGAAAAAATAAGAGTAAAAGTAATTTTTTTAAATAGAAGTAGAAGTGTTTTGATGGAAGAGAAAAATGTAAGAGGAAGTGTTTTGGTGAACGGAAGAGTATGTAATACCGAGTAAATAATAATCTCTCTGTCCAAAAATCATATTCTCATTACGTGTTATAGTGTTTGACTGGAGTTATTTTCAAATTATTTTATATGACAATGTTGTGGAATTAAAAATAAAATTTGCATATTTAAAAATTATATAAAAATATACAGTACAAAATTAGAAGAGAGAAGATGGAATATATTATTTTATTAACAAAATTAAACCAATAAAGTGAAAGAAGTTTGACCCCACTAATAGTGAATATAACGATAATTTTTAGACGAAAGGAGCATCAAGTATTCCGAATGATTTTCACTTATTTGTACTACCCCCATCCTATAATTAATTTTCTAATTAAGTTTATCAAATTTAATTGACTTTAGTTTCATTTTAATCTATTTAATTATAGGTGTAAAATTTAAGAATAAAACTTCTACACTCCCTTTGTCTTAAACAAAGACTTTTTATTTTTTTCTGAACGCCCCAAAAAAGGCTTTCTTTTATTTCATGGAAAATTTTGAGTGGTTTTAAATTTTTTTCTCTTTCCTCTCCCATGACTTTCAACCACACTTTTTAAAATTTCTTAAACTTTAGAGTAAATTCCATAAAAAGCCTCCAGTTATAAATCATTTTACATATTTAGTCCCTACATATCAAATATTACTAATTTAATCTCCAATTATTATATTCATTTTCACGAATAGTTATTTGTTAACATTTGCGTTAAGGACGTTGATAAAATTGTAATATCACACTCTTCTCTCTCCTCAATTAAGCTTCTTCCATCCTCTCATACTCTTTCCCGAACTCGTCGCTTAGTTTGAAACTATAAACCAAAACTGAAATGATCATTCTCTCAATTATTAGTCTTCCTGGTGGAACCTAAAATCAAAACCAATAAGCTTTATGGATGAGTTTTATCAGTTAGTCT